TATATATATATATATATATATATATATATATATATATATATATATATATATATATATATATATATATATATATATATATATATATATATATATATATATATATATATATATATATATATATATATATATATATATATATATATATATATATATATATATATATATATATATAATTTATTTTTTATATATATATATTTATCTTTTTTATTTTGTTTGTTTTAAATAAAATGTTTTCATTATATATTTTTTTACTGTGTATTTATTTATTTATTTATTTTTTCATTCATACATTCATTTTACACCTACACTATTGTTGTTGTATATTTTAATGTATTTGTGTTGACTCTGACAAAAATATCACTGTCTCTGATTTAATTGTCGCTGGTTTGTGTCTCTCAGGAGCCGGCAGGCGCTGAAGGTGCGAGAGCATAATGTTTTGGGCCCATATGTGGATGGTCTCTCCCGTCTCGCCGTCAGCAGTTATAAGGTTTCATCCGACACTCTAATAAAACTCCTCATGTCTGAATCTGTGTGTAAAGCAGCACGATCATCAGTGTCTGTTATTGTGTTTCAGGACATCGAGTCTCTGATGTCGGAGGGGAATAAATCTCGCACTGTGGCGGCAACAAACATGAACGAGGAGAGCAGTCGATCGCACGCTGTCTTCAACATCATCCTCACACACACACTCAGAGACATGAAGACTGGGGTGAGACTCTGCAAATTAAAACGCTTCATACAAGCCCAATGCTTCATATAAATTATGCTATTGTAGTAGTTTTAACTCTTCTGACACTTCTGTATTCAAAGGGAACTTATTACGCCTATTTAAGATGTCAAGTAAGTCTCTGATGTCCGTAGAGTGTGTATTTGAGGTTTCGGCTCAAAATACCACACAAGTAATATTTTATAACTCTTTGAAACGGCCCCTTTTAGGCTTTGACCCTAATTGTGATGTTTTGGTGACTGTCGCTTTAAATTTAAATGAGATTGTAGTCTTTTTCAAAAGAGGCCGGAGCTACAAATGCCTATGTGTCAGCATAGTGGCAGATTCAAAGCTCTAATAGTGAACAGCTGCTTCTCACTCAGGGCTGTCTATGCTACTTTGGGAGAGATGGTCACTAATGGGCGGGGCTTTCCACTTCTGATGACACGTACAAAGAATGCCAAACAAAGTGTTTCTGCTGACTGATTTATCAAGTGTGAATATAAGAAATAACTAATACATTTTAAACATTATTTCCTGGCTATGTTGCCACTTGCCCTTATTAAAGTGTTTTTTTTTTTTTTTTTTTTGCACAATAGTTCCTCTTATTCATTATAAAGACATAAGGTTTGTTTTTGCGCAAATGTGTTTGTGTCTGAGCTCACTAAGAAATGCCGTTTGACAAGCAATAAATCAAATAAAATAGTTGCAGCTTGTTTGTCATGCAAGTAAACACAGATAAAGTAAAAATAATTATCCCTCTTGTAAATTGTTTTATCTTATTATTTTCTTCCATATATATCCCAATTGACGTTTACAGAGCAAGAACATTTTTACCGTATTTCCTTTAATATTTAATTAATTAATTTTTTAAAATCTAATAATTAAGTCTTTGATTTTTAGTTTCAAGCTGTTTTGTTTTTCAATATTAGTAGTCCCCTTCAATTATTAATATAAAATTATTTTTTGATTGGCTACACAACAAACCACAATTATCCAATAACTTGCCTACTTGGCTGGCATCTAGCTCTCTGCAACTCTCACATGGTCGCCCACTGAAGCTAAGCAGGGCTGAGCCTGATCAGTACCTGGATGGGAGACCACATGGGAAAGCTAGGTTGCAACCTGAAGTGGTGTTAGTGAGGCCAGCAGGGGGTGCTCAACCAGCGGTCTGTGTGGGTTCTTATGCCTCAGTATAGTGACGGGAACTCTATACTGCTCGGTAAGCGCTGACTTTAACTGAGGTCCTGAATCTCTGTGGTCGTTAAATATCCCAGAATGCCCTTCGAAAAGAAGTAGATCTTTAACCCCGGCATCCTGGCCAATAAGCGCAGTCATGGCCTCCTGACCATCCCCATATCATAATTGGCTTAATCCTCTCCACCAGTCCGGTGCAGTCCGGTGTAATATGGCTGCCGTTGCGTCATCCAGGTGAAACTGCACACGACACATTGGGAGGAATCTCCTTATCCACCACCAAAGCGCTTTGAGTGTCTAGAAAAGCGCTATATAAATGTAATGGTGATTAATATTATTATTAATATTATTATTATTATTACCCAAGTAAGCCTTTAAATGTCACTTTAAGCTAAATACTATTATCTTGAAAAACATCTACTAAATAAAATGTACTGTCATCTTGGCAAAGACAAAATAAATGAGTTATTAAAACGATTATGTTTAAAAATGTGTAGAGAAAATGTTCACTGTTAAACAACACTTGGGAAATTGTTTTAAAAATTAATTTTACATGAGGGCTCAGTTTTGACTTCAACTGCATATACATGTATTTTTAAACCTGATTTGATGCAATTTTAATCTATTTTAATTATTCGTTGTTTTTGTTTTTTCTTCTTGTGTGATTATTTTGTGTTTTTTTTTTCATTTTACCGATTATGTAGAGAACTTTGAATTATTACCATTATGTTTGAAATGTCTATATAAATAAACTTGTGTTGTTGATGTTCTGGACTGACGTGTGCTGTGTGTGTTTCAGACGAGTGGGGAGAAGGTGAGTAAACTCAGTCTGGTGGATCTGGCTGGCAGTGAGAGAGCAGATAAAACTGGAGCTGCAGGAGAAAGACTCAAGGAAGGCAGCAACATTAACAGGTCAAACACACACACACACACACACACACACACTTATTTGTGTTTTATGTCGGGTTTGGGATGCACACACACACACACACAGGCACACACAGGAGATTTAATTAGGTAAAACTGTCTAACTGCTTGTTAACCAAATTTTTAATCAGCCTATCACATGGCAGCAACTCAATGCATTAAGGCAGGTAGACATAGTCAAGACGATCTGCTACAGTTCAAACTGAGCATCAGAATTGGGAAGAAAGGGGATTTAAGTGACTTTGAACATGGCATGGTTGTTGGTGCCAACTTTGAGCCCATTAGTACCAATTGAGCATCGAGTAAACGCCACAGCCTACCTGAGTATTGTTGCTGACCATGTCCATCCCTTTATGACCACAGTGTACTCATCTTCTGATGGCCACTTCCAGCAGGATAGCACATTATGTCATAAATCATGAATCATCTCAGACTGGTTTCTTGAACATGACAATGAGTTCACTGTACTCAAATGGCCTCCACAGTCACCAGAGCTCAATCCAATAGAGCACCTTTGGGATGTGGTGAAATGGGAGATTCACATCTTGGATGTGCAGCCGACAAATCTGCAGCAACTGTGTGACGCTATCATGTCAATATGTAGGTACTTGTAAGGTTGTATTCAGTTGTTCTTTGTGCTAATGTGTGTTTTAGGTCTCTGACCACTCTTGGACTGGTGATTTCAGCATTGGCGGAGCAGGGCGCAGGAAAAAACAAGAGTAAATTTGTCCCTTACAGAGACTCAGTGCTCACCTGGTTACTAAAGGTGACTATATGCTGTTTATTTCCCAAATGATGTTTAACAGAGCAAGGAATTTCTCACAGTATTTCCTATATAATATTTTTCTTCTGGAGATGGTCTTATTTAATTTATTTCAGCTAGAATAAAAGTAGTTTTTTTTTTATTTATTTTTAAACATTTAAAGGTCAGAATTTTTGCCCCTTTATAATGTTTAGAAATATGTTTTGTTTAAATGTAAAATGTGTTTTATTTTAAG